GTGTGGGTGTAGATGTAGGTGTAGATGTGTTTGTGAGCTTCCTCGGGGTACCCCACTCCCCCAGCCAACGCCCTCACATAACTTGGTTTTCTTCTCTTCTTTCCCCTAAGAGTGGACACGGTCATCCACAGCCGTCCTCCTCAGGGATGGGCCCCCATGGCCCCAGGTGCCCTCCAGGGCAGAAGGTAGGGCCGGGCCTGGGCCTGGCCTGAGGCACCCTAGGAAGCTCTTCCTTAGGCCCTTACGCCCCTCCCTCTCTCGTGGGGGTGGCAGGGAGCCATGGTGGGGTCCCTGGGTGGGAGTGGGGCTGTGAGCTGCAGGGCGGTGTGGAGAGAGGGTCCCTGCTCGCCCCACTCCTCACCTTAACCCTATAGTCCTCGCAGTGAGCATGCTGGTCCTTCTCTGTGGACAGGACCCCGGGCCACCATTGATGGAGATGAGTCAGAGGGGCCCTGCAGGAGCCCTGCCGGATTGGGTCTTGGAGGGTGGCTGGCTCTGAGTAGGTGACAAGGCTGACAAAGTAGAAGCTGTTCTGGTGTAGATGAGGTGGGGGTGGGGTCTGGGGTATGTGTCCCTGGAAGGTCTTGACTCCCAAGCCCAGAACCCTGTCCTCCCATTTTCACCTGTGCTCATTTGTAGCCATGGCTGGAAACACACTAAGCCTCTTGTTGGCCTGGGAGGTTATCTCCAACCCCAGCCCACCTATTCATTGCCTGGGCATTAGCCTTTAATGCCCTGGCTTAGAGCACAGCCACACCCACCTCACCCTTCCCAGAACTGCAGGCTCCCCTCCAGACGCAGCTGAGCCGTGAGCAGGGCTTTAAGCGCCCTCTGCTGGCAACTGGAGCAATTGGTGCGGCTCTGTACTTCCCAGGCAGCTTGGTGCTGGAGACTGGCAGGAGGTACCACCAAGTCCCAGTGAGAAGCCAAGGAGAATGGGCCGGCTCACCCACAAATCGGGGGCTGGGGTCCAGTGGGGTTCTGACGAGTGAGAGGCAGGCTCTGTCCATACTCATGGCTTGAGAACACTGGGGAGTGGGGGTTCCAGGGATAGAAAAGGACTTAATGGACCAGAGCTAAGAGATTGCTTCAGAAACGAAGGGCAGTGCCGAACCCTTGAATGCCAGGTGCAGACTTGGGACTTGATGGCCAAGTACGTTTAGACAGGAGAGGGGAGAACAAGAGTCGAAGCCTCCGGCCAGCGTATCAGCAACGCTGGTAGCACAGTGCAGAACGTGGTGGGAACAGATGTCCTTTGAAAGGTTTAATCTGGCCAGAAGTTTAAATGGTATTGGAAGAAGCAGGGGCCAAAGGCCAGGCTGTGTCCCCTTCAGCAAAGGTACTGTGGCTCCTGGCATCTGTGGGCCCTGAGAGGGGCTTGGCTGCTGACCGGAGGGCCATGGGCTCTATGGCCAAGGGGACTGCTCCTGCACCAAGCCCCAGCAGGTGTCAGGGCGACCCGGAGCCTGCCCAGGATGCCAAGAGCAAGCTGAGACTGACAGGAGGCAGACTAAGGGGGAAGCCTTCCTCTCTTTGGAGCTTCTGCTCCGGGGAGAACTTCAAATGACCTGGCACTTGTCTGCTCCTCCGCTGCTGTGGTTTGCTCACTTCTTTTTGATCTCAGAAGAGATTGATTCACACCACACTTTGCACCAGACTTTGTCTCATTAACATAACAAAACGAAATGATCCCCAACTGGGTTTATAACCCCAGGCATAGAGATCAGGATTTTCCACACAGATTTTTTTTGGGAGGGGGGGCACACAATTGCATTCTTAATAGGCACCTTGACCTTTGCCGGGCTGCTCCCTGGGCCTGGATGGACGCCCCTACTTGGGCAGGTGGACCATGGCTGATGAAAAAGTTTGTTTCTCATCTCTCCAAGCTATGGGCTCCTCTGCCCCTGCCCCTGCCCCTGCCCCTGCCAAGGTCTCCAAGCTTTTCCAGCTCAAGCCCAAATCTCCTCAAGTGATGCCAATTGAAGAATTTCAAGGTAAGAGCTGTCCCTGGCAGGACCAGCCCTCCTCAAAGCAGTTCTCTCTCCATCTCTGCTGGAGTGAAAGGTGCAGGATGGAGGATCAATAGCTGGCTCAAAAAAAAAAAAAAAAAAAAAGGCTCCCCAAGTAGCTGGGTCAAGGTTAAACCAAACCGAGCCTCTTTCCCCTCCAGCGTCTCTCCCCAAGGGAGCTGGGAGCAGGTATGAGTCAGAAGCTCAGTGGGCAGGCCACATGGCAGGCAGAGCAGCTGCCAGAAATAGCCTGTCCGGACTCCCCTGGGAGCTGTGGCCCAGGGCTCATCCTGGCTGGAAGATGAGATCTCAGATACAGGGGTCACCCCCACTGCTGCTTGGGACCCTGGGGGAACGCTCCACCTTCTCGATGTCCCAGGAGGAACAAGGGGGCATCCCCAGGAGGTTGAGGCAGGAGGGCCCATACCTCCTCGTGGGCACATCTTAACAGTGGCTGTCCAAAGCTTCACCTTGGTCACCGAGACCCACCAGCAGAAAAGCCGGGTCCCCTAGAAATAGAGACAGTAGATATCCACTTTCTTGTTCTGGGGACACCCACGCTGGATTTTTTTTGGAGGGGGTGGTTAGGGAAGTGCTGTGTCTGAGGAGGTCCACCATGAACTGGCCCCCTCTCACAGCAGAGAAACTGTGATGAAGTAGCGACCCTCCTGACCAAACCCCACCCTTTCCTGATGTCTTGGGACCCACCTGTCCCTGGGATCCTTGTGAGGCCTGTCCTCGGAGCGGGGCTCTGTGTCTATGGAAGCACTGAGACATGGCAGCAAGTCAAGGGTGAGGGGAGGCCTGCCAGGGTGCCCAGGTGCGGACCTTAAGGCAGCAGGCACTCTCTCTCAGTGTCGTTCGAGGGCGGGCCTCTGGTGCCAACCATTCTTTGACCAGAGCAGCTCAGGTCATTGGGAAAAGATTCTGTAAGTGGGGTGGATTCTTCTCTTCCCACCACCTTCCAATGCAGCATGGAGAGGAAGCTCCTTGGTCCGGCTCACCACGGCCAGCACTCCCGCATTCATGACCCCTGAGGCTGCAGGATGAAGGCGGCATGGCTCTACACTCCTTACACAAACCATCCCCCAGGGCCCCTGCATGCAGTATCCCACAGAGAGCACCTGCCCTGCACCTGGCCAGGTCTTTAGAAGGTGCTGCCCACTGACTCTCTCCATTCCCTGCCCACCAGGGCAGGCGGGAATGTGTGGTTCTAGGACGGGCCATCTTGTGGCTTCCAAGCTGGTGTACTCCAGCACCTTCCCAAATGGCACAGTGTCGGGGGCCCAGGCCATCGTCCTGGGCCAGATCTCTGCCTCCCTGTGAGTCTCTGGGCAGCCCCTTCTTTGCCCTGTGCCTCAGTTTTCCTGAATGCACCATGGGCGGGAGGGGGAAGATGGCAGTAGGAAGGTGCAGGCCCCCCACGCTGGTTGACCCCGTTGTTTCTCCCGCTCGGCCCGGCCCAGACTGCGAGTGCTACGGCCACTCCAACCGCTGCAGCTACATCGACTTCCTGAACGTGGTGACCTGCGTCAGCTGCAAGCACAACACGCGTGGCCAGCACTGTCAGCACTGCCGTCTGGGCTATTACCGCAACAGCTCCGCGGAGCTGGACGACGAGAACGTCTGCATTGGTGAGGGGCAGTGCCCGTAAGCAGACAGGACACAAATGCACCCAGGGGGTGCGAGGGGGAGGGCAGTGAGGCCAGCCTGGGGGTGGTTGTAAGAAGCCCTGCACCCAAGGCTGTGGAAATTCTGATACCAGGGCCCAAGACAGGCCGGGGCGGAAACCTGCTGGGTGGCTCTGTTTCTAGCTGGCCCGTCCCTGGTTCTCCCACTGGCAGTGGGTTGGAGCACCACTAAGGAGAGCATCAGGGTGGCATAGTGGGTTACTCGTTGGCTTGTTAATCCCAAGGGTAGCAGTTTGAAACCACCAGCCACTCCGAGGGAGAAAGAGGCAGCTTTCTACTCCCATGGAGATTTGTGGTCTCAGAAACCCATAGGGGCAGTTCTATAGGAACTATAGGATTGCTGTGATTCTGAGTGGACTTAATGGCCGGGAGCTTGGGTTTCTGGTAGGTTCGAGACCTTGCCTTGCTGCCTGTGCTTGGGCAAGTCACAGACGTCCCGCTTTTAACACCAGACCACCACGGTTGTCAGCCATCCCTCTTTTGTGGCTGACTCTTGCCACCCACCCCTGCTAAGCTCTTGGCCTCTTTCCTTGGGGCACTGAAGGAATTGTGGGGCCTGCACACTGGACTGAGGGTAGGCTCTCCCAGAAAGGCTAAACCCCGACTTCTCCTGGCCAGCCTGGAAGGGTTGGCTTCACAGAAGCCAGGTCTCCGCCCTAGGGGCCACCCCCAGATGTCCAGCCTGCCTCCTGGGAACCCATTGCCCATCCTTCTGGCTCAGCTCTCAGGAGGAGGGGCTGCCCACAGGCTGCAGCTGTCAGACTGTATTATGGCTGCCGCCTTTAGATAATTCCATCAACTCTAAAGTGATCCAAATGGAATTGTGCTGCCTGCTTTACAGGGGGCGTCAGCTGCAGGGCCAGGCAGAGCCCTTAGAACCCAACCCCTACTCCCTGCCCACCCCACCCCCCACACACACACCCTGTGCCCCCTCTCCCTGTCACTCTCAGCCTCCAGGCACCTCCGCCCTCAGCTCCTGACTCAGACTGAACCAGAGGAGGGATGCATGCTTTCTGCCATCAGCAGAGGCGAAAGGCGCAAACTGGGGAGGGGGCTGAAGGCCCTGGCGCTGCTCCTCCACCCCGCTGGCTCACTGTTATCTTCTGACTTGTGGCCACCCTATAGGACAAAGCAGCAAGGCCCCTGTGTGTTTCGGAAGCTGTAACTCCTTACAGGAGCAGAAAGCCTCCTCTTTCTCTTACAGAATGGCTGGTGGATTCGAATGGCTGACCTTGCAATAATAGCCCAATGCAAAACCCACTACCCCACCAGGGCAATGCCAGGAGCTGGAGAAGTGGGTTACACCACCACCACACACACACACACACACACACACACACAC